GGAAGTTCAGGCATTTTTTGCGAGTCTGGATGCAAAGCCCTATCATTTCTGACCATCAAAAACCTTGTGACACCAACTCTGTATTAGAGGCAAAATATTACTAGCAAAGTGCTTCTAAGCCCTGAAGAAGGACTTGTTTGTTTTTTTCCCAAATATAACATTTATGTTCTTAAAAATATTACCTCTCTCTACAAAGCGGGCTCTTACAGCTTCCGCAAAGCTACAGATGCTTGCCCTCTTCCCATCTGGAGCCAAAAAACAGCAGGCAGAGAACAAGGATATGTTTTGGGCTGAGCCTCCACACTGCCACTCAGAAGATCTAGTTTGAGCATTCATCCTGTCTCGGTTACTTCGCAAGCTACTTAATCATTGTGCCTCCTTATCTCATCTGTATAGGAGGACAATAACTCTCGTATTGTTCAGGGGCAAAGTTGAGTTCTTACTACAGCATCTAGTATGGTGGGAAGCTGATTTAATCTTAACCTGCGCCAACATTATCTGTAGAAGCTGTGCAAGGCATAGCCAGCTTCTCGGTGACCTGGAACAGGCTGAAAAGTGCATGGAAGAGGTAGGTATCTGCACTGGATTGAAAAAAAAAAAAAAGCACAATAAAAGGCTTTCTGTCAGTCCAAAGTAACTACACACTTACCCATACAAGTCTATGAATCAAAGCATTGTCCAGCCCTTGTTCGAATTCAGTAGGCCAGAAAGTCAAATCGCTTTTCAAAGGCATGTCACACAGTTAAAGGACAAAGGTTCCTATGTACTTGAGGTACAGAGCAGGCAGTGATCCATGGTTCTTTGTCAGAACAGTGACCACAACACAAACTGCTTCAAGTCGGCAAACACAGCTAAATATTAATGACAGCACCTTTGAATACTGCTGTTCAAGAGAAAATACAGAATATGGGATGTGGTGAAACTGGACAGCTGTCTAAAGCAAAGCATGGACCACAATCCACATGTGAAGAACCATGCAGAGGTGAAAATCTGTTACAAATCAGCTTGAAAATTGGTCAGATTCATTTTGGAAGAGAAAATACAGATATATGTCAGTGTGGACAATACCAAGTGTTCAAACATCAGGATCCCATTTCCCAAAATCATCAGACTGTTTTTTAAAAAAGCCCTAAACTAAATAAATGCTAGTGATTGTTGTATTTCACTTCTTATGCTGCCCTTAGCTTCTGTTTTCTAACATTCTTCATAATACTCCTTCAGACCAAGACTCCTACGAAACCCCCTAAATCCAGAAGCTGGAATATAAAGTAAGAGCAAACAAACAGCTATTATGAACTGCCACAGACAGCAATATGATTAACCGTGAATATCAATAACATCTTTGTTAGCATGTAGTACAGAATAACAAGGTGGAACAGGCCAAATGCACAATAATCTCAGACATCTTCCATAGCCTAGAATAACAGGGAGAAGAATAGCCACTCCAAGATGAACCAGAAACTTTATCAACATATTCAAACAGGGAAAATTTCCATTTTCCCAATGCTATAAGAAAGCAAGCAGAAAGTGAACTGATAATAGTCACATATGGAAGTTAATTAAAACTTAAACTGATCTGTACGCTGGGTTATTTGTAACTGAAAAGCCAGCTAGCTCATGGGTACCCACTGAGGCATGAGATTTAAAGAAAGCTATAAAACATGAACATTACTGTCAGAAATCTTTCAAAGATGGCTTAACTCTCAGAAACAAAGACATTCTCAACCTGAAACGCCGTGCCTGTAGTTTTCGCCATCCAAAGTTAGATTATTCAGGCTCTAAGACAGCAATTTATTTGGATGTTATACATTTAAATGAACACCATTTGACATTCATTCTGTCCCCAAAGCGCTTCAAAGAGCTAACTGCACTGATTTTTGAGGGATTACAAAGTGATGAAGTTTTCTTGGATGAAATTTTAATTTGAGCAGAGGCCTTAAAACCGTACAATGAAATACTGAGACTTTTTTTTTTTTTTTACTGACACAGGCACAAAGTCTCCTAACATTAAATTTTTAATAGTACATACTAGTTTGGAAAAAGCTATTTGTAGGGTCTGCTCAACTGCTTTCAACAGTGACTCAGGTAAAAGAAATTGATAGTTAAATGTATATATCATGATGAAATAAGGAGCACATCATCACTGTGGGAGTGATAAAGCCATGGAAGGTCCAGCAAAGAGAAATACAGCATTTTATATGCTGTGCTCAGCATAAAGCAGATTTATCAAAGACAGGGTAGTTGACTTAAGCTAAGGTCAGCAGAGGATATTTTGCGGTTTATGACATGTAGAAGAGATTATATGAACCAAACGCCTACATTCTATATATATAGATTTAAAGTAACATATAACACACAGGCAAAATCCAGTTCCTATTAAAAGATGATCATACATTCCTAATAGAAGTCAATAACCTGATCTTGTTTAGCACTGCAAGGAAAAGATGTAAGAGTAATTCTCTACTAAAATAAAGAGCAAGGGAAGATTCTGCACCTGTGTCTGCAGGAGCGTGACAGGTATTAGTTGTACCAAAGTCACCCAGACAGAGACATGACAGATGCTATTATCACCGTGTCTGGCAAGACCAAGCACAGCTGAAGCCAGAACGCAGTCAGAAGAAACATCAATGATCATGTCCTGAGAAAAGCTGCCAGATCCTGTTACAAGGAGCTGAAGAAATACAATGTATTAATAATAGCTACACGATTTCACAAAGTGTTAAAAAATCCATGACCCATGTTGGACCGTGATCTTTGGCAACAGATCCAAACCTGGGGAACGTGTCACACCACGAAGTGCGCATCCATTTAACTTCTTGGTGCTCTAACTAGCTCCAAGAGCCTGACCAGACTCTGAGGCAGGAGACTGCAAATGCAGTTAAAGAAAGTGCCTTGCCTTCCCTCTTCAGCAAAGTGACCCCTGTGCGCTCGTTAAGTTCTATTCTGCAGGTAATTGCTGACTAAAATCACAGCAAGTCTTCGCTCAACCTTGCTGGTCAAAGGAGGCGTTGCCTGTATTATGGTTTCTTGCTACCGAAGGTATTTAATAAGAAAGGAGTCAGATTTTCTGAGAACTACATGATTGAAAACTTTGTTAATTGGCACAACAGAAATAAGACAGTACCGGTAACGGTTAACTTTTGAGGTAGAAAATGGCGTATATTTTCCATCAACAGCATTCCATCAGTGATGCTTCTACCACGCTAAATTGTTAAACATGTTTTGGGTAATTGGTAACGAAGATGGTTTTGCATCAGGTGCCTTCATAAAGCATTTATGAGGTTACACCGTCCTGACACTAAGCACATGTAACAATGTACTAGGTGATCCTAATAAAGTTCAATGATGTAAATGCAGTGTTAAACCAGGAGAATAAGCTATGTGGAATATACCATGCAATATGCAACCACTAACAGCTTACAAAGGACTTGTAAATTGTATTTTAAGGGCCAAAAGAGAGCGTTTGACTGAGGATATATATTGGGAAACGCTTTCCCCATGGTAAGATCACTGGCAGCTATCATTTATCTCACTGACCAAGATAAAGATAATCTGAGCATACAAGCAATAACAAACCTTCTGCTGACTAGAATGCTCTCTTGTGCTTTCTTCATCTTCAGCAACAGGCTATTAACTCTTTGCTTGTTCAGCTTCTCATTTGCAAAACTATAATAACCTCCTTGTAACTTTGTTACCTTACACAGGGCTGGAGGGACAAACCTGGCAGGGAACTAAGAGCTGAGCAAGCTCTGTCTTCCACCAGCTACTAACAGAAAACAAGAGCATGGAGAAGTGTTATGCATTACACAACCAGTGACTGTCCCTCCAAATCAATCAAAAAAATGATTCAGATTGCTGTAAAATGAAAATTAAGAGTGAGAAGTGACACGCTGAACAAGCAGTAAAAGGTTAATGTTCCCCAGCCCTGAAGCCAGGAATGAGCATCAAGTAAGTCCTGTCCAAAAAAAATGTATTAGCCCCACCACACCAGCAGATACTGATATAGCGTGCCGGGATCCGTCCAGGGAGGGATTTGGAAGAGAATGAACAACAAAAAGACAGGCATTGAGGTGACATCTGCAGAGGCTGGAGAACAATTTCCAGAGAATGAATGTCTTTTAATGAACCAAGGTTTAACCGTTATCAGTCCCCGCTAGAGATCATTACTATGAGAAACAATGAGACCCGCTTGTATTGCTTTCTCCCTGCAGGACACGTCTGAGGGAAAATAAACCTCTCTCCCTCTTCTTCAGCTTGTTACTGCCAGCATCGGCTGTAATTGAATAAGCTTTATTCAGATGATAGCTAAATTTAGAGGATATTAGCATCAAGTCTCTAGAGGGGCAAAACCAGGGGAAGACAACTTTAAATAAATAGACTAAAGTAATACTGAATAATAGATGCAATTTACGGTGGAGTGAACCTCTGTGCCAGAGGAGTCTAGCACAGAGTTAAACCTGGATTTTGGGGCCTCACCAAGGCAAAACATGACACCGCTGGTGCCGTCCTCTTTCCTCCTAGCCTAACGTTATTATCATTATCTCTATGATGGCAAGGGCCCCTGGGAGCCCTGGCCCCATTGCAGTGTCCCCACCAGGGAGTAACACAGAGGGCCTGCAGGCCGGCTGCCAGGCGGGCGCGGCAGAGAGGGGCGACCAGAAAGGGCCACCAGCTACAACTCGGCGCACCCGCTTTGGGCGACGAGAGCTCAGGGCGGGCCTGCGGGGAACCTCCAAATAACATGGCGCCACAACATGGCGCCGCAG